AAAATGACTCGCTTAACGAGCGACGTTTCGCATAACGAGTGACGATGAGAAGAGAAATCCCGAATATAATGGTCACCATGAGATGAATCACAGACAGGTCTGAAAGAAAAACTTTAAAACAAAGTTGTATAAACTACACTAAGGAATCTTTGTAATAGAATTTAAGCAGGCTTATGCAAACGCATTGTAAGTAATCCACAAATCTACTGTACATAAACTGTTCTTTTTTAAGTTAAGTTGTATAATATATTTTACAATGTTCTACAAATTATAATTACTCTTTTTTTAGTTTTTGTGATACTTTTACTTGCTATATTATATTGTTATGATAAAGACTAACTTGATATTTTAAGTATACTGTGTATATCCGTAAACATATTATTTCATAAGATCTTAATTTATATCAACTTAAAACGGTAACAGAAATTTAACATAATCTTATTCCAAACTTGACCGTATTTAATAAACATTCTCTTTCACACATTGGCAAATAAAGAATTTATGAACCGCCACTGCAAATTATGTTTACCTTAATTATCTACACTATAGAAAATCCAATAATCATTTTTTTTATTTGGTTTAGCGTTTAATTTAATTTATACATTTAGTTTACGTTACATAGTTTTCGTGGTATAAATTAGTTGCCACGTGTCGATTTATTTTTGTGTTAGGACGCAAAATTAAAACGCGTGCTTAAGAGTAAAAATACAATAGATTATTGGTAATATTATAAAAAACAAACTATTCAATATGCAAATATATTTAAATAAATCAAAATTAGCATAAACTAAAATAATTTGATTGTTTTACAATAATGTTGTTTATTATTTAACTTTATTTCATCATCCATTCCAAAAATAAAAGTAAAAAATTACATTTATAAATTAGAGAATTATTGTTGTTTTGTATTTATATTATAGAATAGGTAATTATAGGCATGTACTGCAAGATTTATTTATATTATGATAATGCAGACTTATTGAATATTTATGTACTTCAAACTTTGATACTCCACGGAAATATTAAACAACACAAAACAATTATAAATGTTTAAAGCTGTTAAAATATTCCTATATAATTTAGTAATTACTAAGTAATGTAAATCAACATATGGAATAGTGAATTGTAAGGTTTTATAGTATGAAATATGTCACAGTGCTAGGTTTTTGTTTAATTATAAACGATAATATTAAATCAATATGACGATAAAATCAGTAGCAATGTTGGTAGTTGAAGTGTCAATAGAAGGTCGGGACAACAAATAAATGACGTCAATCGCGTTGCTAAAGAAAATAAAGCGTATCGAAGTTGGAGCCATCTTATAAGGACTTGATGCCGCCGTCCTTTATGTCTCTCCGCAACGGCTGAAGTAAATAAATGAATTCTACCAGTCCTAAGCAAACCAAATTGAAATGCCCATAATAACCGACGAGTAAATAACTAAACTCAACTCATCCAAAATTACACAACACGCACCAACTTACGTGCGTCATAATTTGTAACTTCATAATACCTTTGAAAGTGAAATTTCCGGAATTTACAAAATTACCCAATAATTTTCAGAGCGACATTAAGCATTTCAAACGAAACAAAATAATAAACAGTCACTTTGAGTACTCTTCATATACATATTTTATTCGATTAATGTGGTTTGGTAAGAATATGATTTAATAAAAATTATAGCTTATTTAGATCAAAAGGCTGCATCGCCATAGCACAAGGTTTATAATATATCGAAGTATGTCCTCGCAAAAACGTACATAGTTTTATTGATTTTCAAATCATGTCTCCGA